AGAATGTGAATTGATAACATGACTGGTGCGGTCACACCTAAAGCCAAGTTTAGGCAACTCTACCGTTTTTTGGAATTTTTTCTTTTTGTTTTTTTGTCTGTCATCAATTGTGGATGGTGCAGGGGTCATTGTTCAATATTCTTATTCAAATTTATGCTATGAAGAAAGAGATAACTAGCTACACCTTACTGCATCAATTATGCTTTATTGCGCAAATTGAAATTCCTTAAGGTGTGTGCGTGTGTGAGTGAGAAAGATTGAACATAGATCACTCTCTTTTTGTCTCTAAAATCTCTTCTCTCCTGTATATTCATAAAGGAGGTTATTTACAAAAGCTCTTTCAAACTGCATCCTAACAAAGGAAGGTGGAAATCCAAAGGCAAGTAGCCTACTCTGGAGTTTGGATTTCCCATTAAAACACAGAAATTGCAGATGAACATGAATTGGAAATATTGTCCAACCAAAAGAAAGAATGTAATCCAGTTAAGAATGATGGCTAGGAAGAAGCAGAAACTTCATTTTGCCCAAGTCAACTCTTTCCAAGAATGATAAGCTATTGCCTTGCTTTTCTTGCTTGTCTTTTTGAGTGTTCAGTGTTCAAAGGTGCCATGAGTTCGATGTCTCCCCATGAAAGGGTTCCCTGATTCTGCTGCTTGCATGGTGCTGGCAACCCAAGGAAAGATTCTTTTATGCTTTCACTTTAAGGGCGCTACCCCTGCTTGTCTTGTTTCCTGGTTTGCTTGGTGGACTACATAGCTCTGCAGGAGGCCTACATTGATTGAAAGACCAAACCGTTAAAGAGTGTAATTGTCATGACCTAGCTTATTACAATCTAAAACAGGCAAAATGAAATCAACTAAAATAGTAGGACCATGTCTACTAGCCTGCAATTGCTTGAAATAATCAAGAACAAAATCCGAAAAAGATAGAGGCACTCCATACTTGTAAAGCCAGAGTGAATGCAATTCATTCAAAGTTGAACACTTAATTAATTACACTGTTAGTATTCATAATTACTAATTTTAAACCAAAAGAACAGCATAAACGGAGGGATTGGACCAACATAAAAAGGCATTCAACCTGGATTCATAAAGGAGGTTATTTACAAAAGCTATTTCAAACTGCATCCATATCCTAGCAAAGGAAGGTGCAAATAAAAAGGCAAAACCAGATACTTTAGATTTCCCATTAAAGCGTAGAAATTGTCCAAGCATAAGAAAGAATGAGATAGTCCAAGGAAGAATGAAGGCTAGCTATGAAGAAGAAGAAGAAGACACTTCATTCTGCTAAAATTAAACATTCTTGAAGAATGATGATTTTGCCTTGCTTGGGATCCTTTCCTTTGCCTGCCGGAATGAATTAATGAGGTCACTGAAGGAGCAATTTTTTTTTTTTTTATCCCCTATAAAGGCTATTTATGTTGCAGTAATCTCTTTTAGATGATTTGAGATTTATAAATGGGAGTTTGTCCTCTCATAGTTTTGAAAACAACATAAAAGAACCAGGTCCCCCTAACTCATACAATTAAAGCTAGAAACAGAATGTAGAACTAATTTAATCAATTGACAAGAATTCAGGACATAGTACCTCACCTTATTTTCAGAAGCAGAGGTTTTGCTTCCTGGAACAAAATTATTGTCTGCACTCAAGACTTAAGTGTCCATTTGATGAAGAACACATTCGTCTATATGTCTGCATTTTGCAAATGTTGCACACATGTTAAAAAATCTTTAACCCAAAAAACATTAGAGATTAAAGGTGGTCAAGCATGGGATTTGAGTGAACCAACAAAACATGTACCTCTACAAGACTTGCATCTTCCTCTTCCCCATTTCTTCACACCTACATCATAAATCCCCAATCAAATGAAACAACTAGGAAAATGATGCTGATCAAATCAAAACAAAAATCATTGAAAAGTTTACAAACCACCATCACTTGTTCATTTTTAGAATCACTACCAGCATCATCACACCTTGCTCATTTTAAATGCTTTGAAGGTAACCTCATTTCGAAACCCTGAATTTCAAACGACAAGCAACAAAACAACATCAGTTGGGGTTCTAAGAAAATTCACAACAGTACACAGAAATTTGCGAAGGATAACAAAATCAAATCTATCCTTCACCTAGAAACCAAATCAATTGAAACTTCCCAGTCCTTCCTTTTGGTTCTTATGTATTATCGCTTCCAATCAGAATTTGCCCTACCTGTAATAATTCAGTCAAATGTTAGAGACTGAACACTTAAGCCATCTAATGTTTACATTATCTCACTTAGGCTACATCCAGATGCTTAAGCTCTTTGTGGACACAAAAGATTTAATTCATTACTCACAGCATCCTCCATGGTTACGTGCCATCCTTGAATGGATGATGGCTTTGAGCTTGATTGAGCCGACTTCATTTTGTTGAATAGTGAAACCACATTGCTTTGAGCATAATTATTCTTGGAGAGTCCTGAGATTCCTATAGCTTTTGGTTGAACAGCTACAATGTTTACTGGAGCTCCATCATCATAACTGCAGAAATTGGGGAAGAAAGTGAGCAGCTCCAATGTAAAACCGCTAGCAAGTGTTTTCCTACTCTAAGATAGAGGTAGAGCCAAGTACCAAATTCTCAAAAATCTAAACAAAAATATGATATTATTACTCTTTGTCTCTAAAGTCTCTTGTATATTCATAAGGGAGGTTATTTACAAAGCTGTTTCTAATTGCATCCTAGCAAAGGAAGGTGGAAATCTGGAAGCAAATAGCCTACTTTGGAGTTTGGATTTCTCATTAAAACACAGAAATCATTTTGCACACCTCCACCATCTAGTGCACAATAAAATGTGGTAAATAACCAAAAATCAATGATAATAACAAATTGAATCAATGATAAGCAAAATCAGACAGTGAAATGATTAAATTTGAAAGATCTATGCACCTGTGGTGGCAGGTGCATAGATATATTATAAGATAAAAGAAACTACAAAGCAAGTTATATTATTATGGTTGCAGGTGAATCATAATACTAGTTTTGAAGGTTAATTTAAGATCAAAATACAGATACAGATAGAAAATGAACACAACGAAATCAATACTCACCACTTGGAGTTTATGACACCAAATCCTATTCCAAAATCCGAAATGATACTACTTAGGAGCACTTGGAGTTCATCGGAGACAGGAGCCTAGGACTCTTCTTGCCAATTGCCAACTGATTGTGCCAAAATTGGCATTTGCAATACTGAAATTGAAATTCTGCATGTTTTTCATTTCAATGATTTTACTTCCAACTTAGACAAAAAAAAAAAAAGTTACTTTAAATATTCTAATTACTGATTATCAAAAATTAAACAACTAAATAAATTTATTAGAACCAACTACCGAATTCTCAAAAATCTGAAGAAAAATAACCATACCTAGAAGGAACCCATTTAAGAAAATAAGAAATTCCTAAACAAACAAAGACCAGCCACCAAAAATCCTAATAGAGACAAATCATTTCAGAAAATCTGCATTAGATTTTGGAATTACCAAAATGGAACAAGAAATATAAAAAAGGAGTTAAAGAGTTGAAATCATAATAATTCAGACATAGATAAAAGAGATTGGATTCCATATATAGTACCCAGTTTGGCGAGAATCTCAGATGAAATTGAGGAAGCAGAGGTTGGACCTAACTCAACTGGATCTCTTCCATCCGGTTTCAGAATCAGAATAACAGGACTGGACCGGAGGAGAAAAGGAGAAAAGAAGGGTTTACTGGCACGTGCTATTCAAGGCCGCACGTGACCTACTTGGACGCGTCAGGTACATACACAAACGTAATGTTGCCGCTCATCCTGGCCGTCCGTTAGTGCCTTCTCACTCTGGATCGTTGGCCGTCCGTTACCCCTTCAATTCGACCTCCAAGAATCAATGAAACAACAGAAATGATAGAAGAGGAATTGGAAAACAAATAAAATAAATAAATAAATAAAATCAACATTCTTAAAATTAGAAATTGAATACTTTAATCAATCAACACCTTACCTCTCAATTATCACTGCTACCAATATTTCAAGAAAGGTTGAAGTAGGTTCTTATGATCCCACTCCACTGATTCCCACCATTCTTTTGACTCTTCATCTATCCCAATTTCTTTGAGATGAGAAGGAGGAGATGGTTGGCCATTATCAAGCAGGGGAAGCTGCACAGGGATCCTCTTTAACTCTCGACATTCGAATATTTTAATTTCTTCAATAGAATCACAAAGCATAACTCCTTTGACACTGCAGATGCTCTTCAATTGGGGTAAACCCTCCAACAGCAATTTCCTTAACTTGGGAAAAGTGAATTTATCAGATGATGCATCTGAATCTGACGATGCTATTATCTCCTCCATTTGTTTGCACCCATCAACATCAATCTCCTCTAAGTTTTGGAAGGCCTGCAGCAGCTCAAGTGGAAGCAACTTCCTCATTCCTGAACAATTGGATATTGTAAGTGTTTTAAGATTGGAAAAGACGTGCGGTGGTGTTGCTACTCCTTCCACTCTCACAAGAACACTCAATTTAGGCAATTTCTCAAGACACAGCTTTTCAAGCTTATCCAGTACTGGACAGGAGGATGAGTCCAAGTCAACGACGCACTCCATATCTTTACAAAACTCAATACTACAATAACTCAACTCGGTTGCCTTTTCTAACAAAGCTGCTTTATTTAAGCCGCTTCTCATGTTTCTACAGCACACTATCTTCAGCCTCTGAAGGGTATCTGGAAGCACCATACATTCTTCTCCTAAGTCACAATAATTAAAACTAACCTCAGCTTCCCTTTGAGTAGTCGACGAATATACGAGGCTTTCTCCTACTTTAATAAAGTAATCAGTAAGAATTTGGAAATCTTGAGACTTGACAAAATAATTGTAGCTTTGTATGTCATTGAATACACCATGAAAGGTCTCCAACTTGCTCATTCTCGCAACCTCTTCTGCTTCTATCTTCAACCTGTTGAAAAACAAGTACTGGAGATTGGAAAGGTTTGATAACATTCCCATTGGAATCTCTTTTAGATTGGAACAATCCCTTAAATCAAGATATTCCAGACTAATCAATTTCTCCATGCCTTGAGGGACCACCTCAATCCGGGAATTATTCAAATCCAACTTCTTTAATACTGTAAGCTTTGCTAAAGGAGGCAAATACCTTAACCTCTGACACCACCTTAACCTCATGGAAGAGAGCTTCTCCAAGTTTGAGATGGAATTAGGTAAAGCTTCAATACCAGTGCTAGAAAGATCAAGAACCTTCAGTTCAGGCATACCTTCAAAGAATGATTCTGGGATCTCATACAAATTATAATTATCTACCAATATCAAAGTTGAAAGAGTTGGACACTTTGGGCACAACCCAAGGGGAATTTTTGATATCTTATTCCTCATTAGAGACACCTTCTGAAGATAATTTCCCCACCCAGGCTCATCTGGTACATCTGTCAATTTCATGCCAGCTTTTACCATATATCCAAATTCAGGACCAATGCTTTTGATAGCCATGTCTCTCAAAACATCATGCATCTTGAAAAAATCAACACCCAAACCAACAGTTTTCTCTAACAAGCACTTCTTTACTAGCATATTTAAAAAGGCATGACCCCTATCATAAGCTGCTTTTCTACTCGCCAACCCCTTTATTAGTCCTTCATCAATCCACTCTTCTATCAACTGTTTTCTTAAAAATGGATAATCTTCAGGAAACAAGGAGCAATAAAGAAAACAGCTTTGGATTTCAAAATTATTCAAACGATCATAACTAAACCTTAACCTCTTAAATATCTCTTGATCTGAACCAGTCACACTCTTTACCAGTTCCCGTAATTCAGTCAAGGCATTATTCCACACTTCAATATCAACTTCTCCCTTCATACTCCCTGCTATCACAACAATGGCTAGCGGTAAGCCACCACACTCCTCCACAATGAGCTTTAAGATTCCTTCTAAATTTGGTATTTGCAGAACATGCTGCCCAACTTTATCTAAGAATAAGTTAAAAGACTCTTGAAATGAAAGAGGCTCCACTTTGACTATCTCACAGTCCATTTTTTGGCACAAATCAATGGATCTACTAGTGATGACTATTTTGCTTCCATTCTGAATTGTTGGTTCTGGAATTCCCACTTCAATAAGAGAAAACACTTCCCAGACATCATCTAGGATAAGCACGTATCTTCCTACTCCTTCCATAACACTCCTTAATGCAGCTGCCCGCCTCTCTTTATCCTCAACTCCAGGGAGTCTCTGTTTATCATCTCCAGTAATAGCACGAGCAATATTTTCTTGTAATTTAATCACATCGAGTGGGTAAGATACAGTGACCCAAATCACATTATCAAACTTAGCCTCCCTCACCAGTTCATCATTGATATGCTTCATAATAGTAGTCTTTCCAACCCCACCAATCCCACAAACTCCAATCTTTCTAACTTCATTGCCCACCAAGTATCCCCAGATTTTTTCTTTTGCAGAATCTTCACCCACTGGATTATCATTTGACATGATGACTCCATGGGTCGGAGGTCTATCAACTACGAGACCATCACGAAAACAACCTTCTACACGGATTTTTTTCACCCCCTCAATTTTACTGCAAACAAGTTTTCCAAGATGGCCCCGTGAGTACCACTTTACTCTCTGAATCTTTCCTTCAATTTCGTCCACTGCAACATTGATTTGTTGTACATCATCAAGCCACCTTTGTACCTCACGTTTCCTTTTTCTCCCCCAAAGAACCTCAGTTTGTACTTTTGAATCTATTTCCTCTTTTTGACTATTTAGATCTTCACATTCTCTTCTCAGATCACTCACAACTTCATTAAATTTTGAGTGATAATCTAGATAGGTGCAAGCTGACCTCCCCAAACACTTTACCAATTCAACGATAGGCTCTACCAGAAGCTCCATTGAAGAAGACCCTATTAAATGAAACATCACGTGTATTACAATGCATACAA